TACTAGTTAAGAGTCATCAATTCCAGTACACTTTGTTTTAGGAAATAAAATATTATTGTATTCTACTTATGATCTGGAGAACAATTTAAGTAAAAACACATGGCAATGCCTTATTGTCCCAAGATTCATCTACTGTCCACTAAGACCAGGGCATTTAGTGTGACAGGACTTGCCCTTTGGAATATGCCCCCAATGAACATCATACAGGCAGCTAAGGTCTTGGCATTTAGGAGCCTGCTTAAAACTCATCTCTTCCCTCAGGGTTTTCGTATTAAGCTGATCTACTGATTTATGATGTCTTTTGTACTTGTTTTACTAATGTACCAGTAATTTTATAGTTGCTTTTATGCTGTTCATTGCCATATTTTTTTCCTTAATGCTGGAGGTATGGATTTTTTTTGCAAACAATTAAATAAAAATTGAGAAATAGGGCTGAGCATTTAGTTTCTGGAGTGATTTCTAAGCATTGCAACTTCTGTATATGTTTCTTCGTTAGCTGTTTTTCTACATTTAAGCTGATTGCATGCCAATGAAGTGGAGAAAAACCTAATTAGGAATATTTGCAATTACAAATACTGTAATCTGTAATCTCTGGGTGCTTTAAGTTTTTTGGTCCAGTGAACAGGTTATGTAAGTCCTCAGGCTTTAGTTTATATTTTAAATAGGGCTGGTGGAGAAATCTGTCTTTAACTTACCACAGAAAGCACTAACTTAATTGTACTTCTTGAAGACATCCATTACATAACGATCATAATCAACAGTACAGCTTCAATTAAGTTTAAGGTAATAGTATAGAATCTCAATATAAGCATTCCTTCCCCAGACTCTTTTTCTCTATAGACTCTTCACTATGGAGAGCTTGTGCCTTTCTAGATGCTGAGTGTCTAAGAAGTCAGCCCTTCTTCCCTGGAAACTCCTGTGGGGAGACCTGGTTCTGGCTGTAATGCCAACCAAATTGGAAAACAGCCTCGAACTGGCATTTTCCTCTCTGTTCCTCGTCTTCTTTCTGGCATGAATTCCCTCCTCCTTTTCTTGTCAGCTTTAGTATGATTTTTCATTTTATCTCTCATCAACAGTAACCAACTAACCCTCTAAATTGGAATTTGAAATGTCAGGAAGCCCTGGTTGAGAGAGGAAGGTTAGCAGCAGTGCAGATGAAAGGCTGACCAGGGAGGAAGGTGTGGAGTTGTGCTGGAGATAGGAGAAGGAAGGTGGGGACCAAGTGTAGCATTCCCAGGGTTTGCACCTTATTTGAAAACTTCCATATGGGAGAGCAGCTGCTGATACATGTGCATTAGAGCTCAGTGATCAGGGAAGGGCACTTCACATATGAATAGGCTCACTGCTCTGGAACAGAGGTATTGCACTGGAAACAGGTCTTTGAACTAATCTGTAACAACCCATGGCACAAACTTAGTCCCTGTCTTCTCGAGAGCCAGTGTGGTGTAGTGGTTAAGAGCAGTGGACTCGTAATCTGGTGAACCGGGTTCGATTCCCTGCTCCTCTACATGCAGCTGCTGGGTGACCTTGGGCTAGTCACATTTCTTTGAAGTCTCTCAGCCTCACTCACCTCACAGAGTGTTTGTTGTGGGGGAGGAAGGGAAAGGAAAATGTTAGCCGCTTTGAGACTCCTTCAGGTAGTGATAAAGCGGGATATCAAATCCAAACTCTTCTTCTTTTTCTTCTTGGGTGTGTGTGCATATGCTACTAACAAAGTAACATCCCCCCCCATTGCCAGATCTCCAACAACTTCTTACTTCAGTTTCCTGTGCCCTCTAGAGCAGTGGCTTCTAAACTTCTACCCACCTCAGACCACTTGAAAATTGCTGAGGGCCTTAGCAAACCACTTAATGTTGGTGTGCGGGGGGGGGGGGGGCGTTGTTTTGCCTGTTGTTTAGCAGTTGTAATACACTATGCTAGATGCTAAAACATTTTTAATGGAATTCAAAATTTAATACAACCTCCCCCAAAAATAAAAAATAGAAGAAGCAATAAAAATACAATTAAAAATCAGTATGAATATTTTAATGCGATGGATGTACTTGTTATGTCTAACAAAGTTCTTTGATGCTTGGTGTAATATTTGTGGAGTCTTAGGTCAACAGATTCAGCATTCATCCAGCATCCTGTCCTTTTATATAAACTGACAACTCCTACTCTGAGTCACTCCCTTTCTTTTGCATGTGCTCCCTCTTAGCTTCTTCCCCTCTTTCTTGCTTTTCCTTTGTTCCCATGTATGGACTCTCCACTCCTTTCAAGTGCCTTATCAGCCTCTTTCCTCTCTTGGGACCTCCCCACCCTGCCTTGCTTTCTTCCCCTGAGGGAGGCAGAGTCTCCTGCCTCTTCCTCCTCAAGTCACTTCTGGTCAGTCCTACTTACTTTCTGGTCTGACGGCTGGGTTTTAAGAATGATGGAGCAGCCACTGCACCCACCAGTCCTCTCACACACATAGCCCACTGTTCTTCACAGGCATATAACATATAACATTTGAGGATTCAATTCTTAATGTTTGCATGGTAGCAGTGCTGCTGTTGTGACCAACCCTAGATCAGATCGCAACCTGTTAGTAGATCCCACCAACTGAGACTTACATCTTTCATGATTGACCCCAGCCTTTCCCCATGACCATACTCCTTATCCCTGTTTTCCCATTAATCTCAACTTTCCTTCTCTAATCACTGATAAAAATTTAAGAAAAGAACTCCTGGGCTGTATCTTCTTACCCCAAACATGTAATGTAAACAAAGCAAAATACTTTTTTTTGGGGGGGGGGGTTGCATACCATATTTTGTTTTCTACTGACTCCAAACATTTATTTGGCACAGATCTCCCAGAGTCTATGACTCTTAAGAACACAGTGCTAAATTTAATAAAATTGCTTTAAAACAATGGGAAATTACATAGAAATTGGGAAAGCGTGAGAAGCAAATCTGAAAATAAAATCCATTCCAATCCTAGTAATCTCATATCCAAGGAGATTAAAATATCATATCACATTGTTTCATTTTCTGAAGTGTCAGATGTAAAAGCATGTAAGATGGGACATACTTGCATACCATGTTTGATTTTGGAACTAGAGAAGCTTCAGATTTATATTTCTTGAATTATATTTTACTGAGCTTCAAAAAGTCACAATAACAACACTAAGCAGGTAGAATCCCTCCTCAGAAGAATAGATGGTGAAAATATACCAGATGGCATGTAGATGTAAAAGAGGTGCCACTCAGGTAAGTACAGTGGTACCCCGCAAGACGAACGCCTCGCAAGACGGAAAACCCGCTAGACGAAAGGGTTTTCCGTTTTGGAGGCGCTTCGCAAAACGAATTTCCCTATGGGCTTGCTTCGCAAGACGACAGCCCATAGGGAAATCTCCGGGACAGCGGGGAAGCGCAGCGCGTCTTCCCCACTGTCCTCGGACCTCCTCCCGCCGCCGGACATCGGAACGAAGCTCCGATGTCCGGCGGGGGGGAACGTCTCCTCCCTCCAACGGACATCGGAACGAAGCTCCGATGTCCGGCGGGGGGGGAACGTCTCCTCCCTCCAACGGACATCGGAACGAAGCTCCGATGTCCGGCGGGGGGGAACGTCTCCTCCCTCCAACGGACATCGGAACGAAGCTCCGATGTCCGGCGGGGGGGGACGTCTCCTCCCTCCAACGGACATCAGAACGAAGCTCCGATGTCCGGCGGGGGGGGGGAACGTCTCCTCCCTCCAACGGACATCGGAACGAAGCTCCGATGTCCGGCGGGGGGGGGAACGTCTCCTCCCTCCAACGGACATCGGAACGAAGCTCCGATGTCCGGCGGGGGGGGGGACGTCTCCTCCCTCCAACGGACATCGGAACGAAGCTCCGATGTCCGGCGGGGGGGGAACGTCTCCTCCCTCCAACGGACATCGGAACGAAGCTCCGATGTCCGGCGGGGGGGGGGGGGAACGTCTCCTCCCTCCAACGGACATCGGAACGAAGCTCCGATGTCCGGCGGGGGGGAACGTCTCCTCCCTCCAACGGACATCGGAACGAAGCTCCGATGTCCGGCGGGGGGGGGAACGTCTCCTCCCTCCAACGGACATCGGAACGAAGCTCCGATGTCCGGCGGGGGGGGGAACGTCTCCTCCCTCCAACGGACATCGGAACGAAGCTCCGATGTCCGGCGGGGGGGGGGAACGTCTCCTCCCTCCAACGGACATCGGAACGAAGCTCCGATGTCCGGCGGGGGGGGGGGAACGTCTCCTCCCTCCAACGGACATCGGAACGAAGCTCCGATGTCCGGCGGGGGGGGGAACGTCTCCTCCCTCCAACGGACATCGGAACGAAGCTCCGATGTCCGGCGGGGGGGGGAACGTCTCCTCCCTCCAACGGACATCGGAACGAAGCTCCGATGTCCGGCGGGGGGAACATCTCCTCCCTCCAACGGACATCGGAACGGAGCTCCAATGCCGGGCGGGGGGGGGGGAACGCCTCCTCCCGCAGCCCGGCATCGGATGGCTGTCCTGAAGACTTGGGGTGGGAGGAGGGTTTTCCTTCCCACCGCCAACATTCAGAATGCTGTTCTGAATGTTGGCGGTGGGGAGGAAAAACCCTCCTCCCACGCAAGCCCCGGGAACAGAGGAGAAGCGCTGCGCGCCTTCCCCTCTGTTCCCGTACCTGTCCTGAAGGCTTGCGGTGCGGAGAAAAGCCCTTCTCCGCACCGCCAGCCTGGCAAGCGGTTTCCCTAGGAACGCATTAATTGATTTTCAATGCATTCCTATGGGAAACCGTGCTTCGCAAGACGAAAAACTCGCAAGAAGAAAGAACTTGCGGAACGAATTAATTTCGTCTTGCGAGGCACCACTGTAATATTATAGCTCGTTGCAACTCACCAGACTGAGAGTCCCCTTAGTCAGCATGCTTCAGTTTCAGAAAGCCACCTGGAACATGCAAGGCTTTTATTTTTAAAAATTCATTGTAAGAATTTTATTTCATCAACATTCATGTCTGTAATCTTTTTTTTTATTCCTAGCATATTATCAAGTTCCATCGTGCCTCAAAAGCAAACAAGAAACCCATGCAGTTGCCAAGATCTATGGTGAAATCACTACTTTATCAGATTCTTGATGGAATTCATTATCTTCACGCAAATTGGGTGCTTCACAGAGACTTAGTAAGTGCTGTGATTTTTAACTGTTTAGAAATAATTTGGATTGCATTTTTGTTTTGGGGAAGTGAATAAACCTGGGTGGGGGTGGGGAATCTCACAAACTACTTCACTTCTTGATGTTCTTAAATACTCCTAGGGGTTTCATGGCAAAAGTTAACTTTGTATCATCACTGGTTTTTAACAGCAACATCTGCTGCAAGTCTCTGGTGCTGCATCCAGTTAGCAAATAGCTTTATAAGCAAACAGTACATCAGCCAAGGAACACTTTACACTGAAAAAGCAGGTAGCCGTTTAAACTGCTCTGGGTTAATTTGGCTGTCTACCATTCCAAAACTCAACAAGCTGTTGGAAGTTCCTTGGGAGACTATCGCCACATTTGTGCAATCGTATCTCGTCATAATAAGCCAATGTATGAAAGCGCCTCCTGGACATGCATAGAGCCATTTTTGTCCTCCCTTCACATGAGCATGAAAACAACCATGAAGCTACAATGAGCTCTAGCTTCTCATTATATTCAGATCAGGTAACTGTAGTTAATGGCTTCCAAACAAACCAAAATATTGATTCATGTTTTAATATCCTGCTTTGTTTGGAAGCCATTGACCTCTGCTTTTTCAATGCAATAGAAAGCTAGAGTTAATTGTCACTTCTTAGCTTGTTTCCCTGCTTGCACAACAGGGATAAAGCAGATGTGTGCAGATGCGTGCAGATGCAGGAGGCTTGTTAAGCTGAGATATTGATCGTCCAGAAACAGTTGTTGTTTCTTAAGAACAAACCACTGGCCTCATAATTCTGTCACCAGCGTAAATGACGGCTGAATAATATGAGAAGTTGTTTAGAAACTTATGCATGAAACCACCTCTTCCGCAAGGTGGCAACTCCCCCCAACTTCCCAAAGGGGAAAGAGAGCTCTGAATTTATTGAAACAGCCTTAGGGTGCTGTGGCTCTAATTGGAGATCTGGTGCAGAACTGCCATGGGTCTCACCGCAGCATGTGCCTGCATGCCGTTATTGATCTTGATTCTCTAAATCCATGCAGAGAATGTGGAATCAGTCACGGCAAATGGAAAGTATTTTGCCAGTTCTTTTCTGGCCATGCTGCTCCTGAGTTGTTGGCATTCATGGCTAACAGGATCCACAGGCACTTTCAGTCAAGTGCCATCATGACATGCATTCCTTCTTCTTATCCTGTTTATTATCTTCATCAGACCAAAAATATGACCAAAAATACAGCACAGTGAAACCTTACAGTATTATTAAATGCAGGACAAATACAAAAAGTGTAACATACTAACAGCAGCTCAAATACACACCCACCCACACCCTTTGAGTAAGCCCCTGGAAATATTTTTTTCAACTTCAGGTGCTTAAATGTCTTCTCATAATCTCACTGCCACCTATAGAAATTTTGTTACCTAGATCATCAGTCAGGCTGTAACTGATGCTGGATTGTGGACTGCCCCCTGGATCGTTGACAAGGTAGTTGTTTACCTTGTCTGTTTGCTTTTTTAGACAGTGCTCAACTTTCACTTGTCCTTTGGTGGTGGCGTTTGATGAAAGTATTCATGGCCATCCATGAAGTTGAACAGTAGAGGGGAGCCTGGAGCATGTTATACCAGTCCTGACTGACAGGAGATTCTTTCACAGAGAGAATAAAATACCCCTGCTGAAAATTTCAAATAACAGACAACTGTGAAATATTGTGAGAACCAGTCATAGCTCAGCTACTCAGTGGTGATATAGATCTGCAAACAAAACAAATATAAGATCCTGTTGTGCATCTCATACAGGAAACAAATGTTACCAGGAAGGCTGCCTTTCCTCAGGGGCCCATGACAGTAATTCTGCTTCCATGGAGAAGGGAGACAGTGTTCTAAGGCTGCTGATCCCAGGAGTTGGAAACTGATGAGTATCAAACCTTAAGGACGTGATGCTAAATATTTCCAGTGGGCTGGATTAGAGAATTGCCTAGCAGACCATTGAATGGCATTCTGTTACTTGAATAGATCATCCAAGAGTTGTTTGCAAAACATACTTGCATTTGTGTATGTGCATTTTAAATAGCAGTTGCAACACCTTCCCACCCAGATCTGGCATCAACAGAGGCTTCCTTCTGATGTGTGTGCATGCATGTGCAGTTTTCTTTGGGATCATGAAGAAGGTGAAAGGTTATCCCCCTTTTTTTACCTGCATTGCAGACCCGGTCCAGATTAGGGATTCTGTGGTTTGCACAGAAATCTGAGCATGCATTTAACATAATATGTCCCTTGGTCCTCAGAGAGACGATTACAGAAAATGAGAATCTTTGTGTAAGAAGGCACAATAGGAAACCTTTAGAGACCTACCTTTCATCTGCATGATTTCATGCCGAGCATACAGTTTCTGGTAGTGGTTGAATACTTGTAGTGTGCAGGATCCAATCATTAGGGACATAGGGACATGAGTTGTGGTTAGCATGTGGAATGTATGGTGACCTGCTTGCTTCCATGGGTGATGAACATTACTTGCAGTCTAGAAAAGCTGGCAGTGTGTGGGAAGAGATTGTGGAGTGGAATTCAACTCTTTGCTAAGATCATTCAGTCAGCATAAGCATTTCTGCCCGCCCAACAGAACAATCTTCCTCCCTCCCACCGCATACTGTTCTGGGAGTTTTCACTGACCCTCCAGAATGGTTTTGGGAGAGGTGAGGAGGTAAAGCCCCATTGTGCTAGTGGGAATTCTTGTGCTGTTTTCCACTAATGGAACTGGGTTGTTGAATCCAGCCCATAGTCATGTTTTCCTGGAACCATATTTTTGGGGAAGGCACATGTTGTATGTATAGATGTCAGGACTGAGTTGTTCCTGGCGATCCCAGATGAGTGAGATGGTGCCCAGGACTAAAAGTGAGAATATTGAAATCTGTATGTAGCTCTCCCATGTGGTGAGCTGCTGAACTGCATGCTGCACCATCTACATCTGGAGTAACGTCGGGCCAGCAGGCCAAATTTGGCCCTCTAGGTCTCCCCATTTGGCCTGTGACATGGTTTTTCCTAATCCATGCCCACTTGTGCCACACCTAGAGACACAGGTAGAGATGCAGCTGCAGAAAGTAGGATTGAATGCTGAATGTCAGCTGATGAGAAGGGAATTCAGTTAGCTTGATTCAGGAGAGCCTGTGAGTTCCTGCTGGGACCTGGCTGGCATGCTCAGGCCTTACCAAAAGCCTGATTGGGCAGTGTTTCCCCACCTCACACCTGTGGGCCAACTTTGACAGGTAGGTGGTCACCGCACCTTTCAATCACCCTATACCATTTTGAAATCAGACGATTGGCCTGTGAAGGTGGGGGAAACGAGAGCTGAGCCATGGAGTCAAAAAGTTTCCCCATCTCTGATCTATACCAGGCACATCCAGCATCCAACAGGTTGCGATCCACCATACAATATAAAAAACTGGCAGTGATCTACCACACTCTCCCATTGTCATTCTTCAAGTTAAACATGTTCTATTTAGGTGGGGAAACCGAGCCAGATGGGCGGGGTATAAATAATAAATTAGGGTTATGATAAAAATAATAACAAATTATTACCCCCACACCAGCCCCCTCCCAGGGCCGTTGGTGCACACGGGAAACCAATACGCCCCGAAATGTCCAATTCCCCTTTTACCAGATGGAAGAGCTCCGTGGGAGGTGGGTCGCAGTTACTATGCTGCTTATGGGCACCAGGTTGGCAACTCCCAACTTGGTCAGACTCTTCCTTCCAAAGCTGGCCATTGGATCTTCCTGGACAGGAAGGAGTAGAAGAAGTCTTCCTGTTCCAGTTGAGCTTTGCCTGAGCAATAGAGTCTTGATGAGCTTTGGTGCATTCCTGTATCCTTTTGTCCTCCTCCGGTCCTGATTTATAGCTTGCTCTTCAGCCTTGCCTCTTAGTTTGGCCCTGACTTGGCTTTATCCCTTGACTCCAGTCCCCTGGTGCAGAAAACGAAAAATCTGAGGCAAGTGAAAAGGAAGTAAAGTTTGTTATAAAACTGTCTAGCTCAAAACAGAGCGCTGCATATTAACTTGCCATCAGAAACATTCATTTAAAATGTTTTATGGGTGAAGCTCAGTGGGGCTCATTTTTGGTTTGCTTCCCTGTGTTCATTCCACCCCAGCAAATACTGTGGGTTATGTTTCTCCTTCAATGTTCAGTCCTGTGGCAAAATATTGTATCCGTAAAGAGGACAAGGAAAACTATGTTAATCTCTTGGCCTTGTTCTTGTTACCATGTTGATATTTAGTTTGTCGACATTTTATGGACATTGTTTGTATCATCTAGATATAATAAGTCCTTCAGGGAATATTTATAATAGGCATTTTTAGAGTGCTGCTCTTAAATAGTGCTGCTGATTGTGCCTTAACAATTTGCTATTCAAAACAGCATGCACAGATGGTGAAAAAATATCACTATTATTTGTATAATATAGTGGTACCATTGTAAAAAGTCTGGAATTCACAGAATCCTTGATTTAAAATTAGCTTCTTTTTCAGTTACTTTATTTTTTACAGAACAACCGCTACAACGTATTATTTTTTTGGGGGGGGAGGAATCTATTTTTTTTTCTTTACCACTTGTTCTCCAAAAATAGTATCTTTTGAGGTATTCCCAACTCAACCTCAACAAAGACTAAAACAAATTAACCTCTGTCTGTAAATAGTCATGTCACATTCTTGCCCTTCTCCTTCCTGCCCACCCTTCAAACCTTCTATTTCACTTGAAGATTCAAACATGTTTCATTTAGCCTAAAGCCACTAAGTTCAGTCAGATGGGCAGTTACATGCATGTACTTTAACCATCACATATATTTGAAAGTTGTTATAAGTTAGAAAATGCATGCATGCATTCTCAGCGTATCAAGAGTGTTGTGTAGGAAAGAGTACTTCTCCGGGTTATTTATTACTTCTATTAAATACACTCATCAGAATACCTAAAAAGTATCAGCATGCATTATAAATGTGGAATTATACATTTCAAGCCTCTAAGGG